TCTAACAGAACATCTTTCACCAGTATCACAGGAGGGAGATCTGCACTCAAACCATTTTGAGAGCTAGTAGTTGATGCTGTATTACACGGCGGTAATGCAGTTATAACCGAATTTGAGCCACTATATAAAACAATTGTGTTTTTACGAACACGTTTTTTAGAGATTTGGACCATAATTTCAAGGATTATATGACAATAAGCAGTAAATAAATTTCAGAGCAAACACGTGCAAAAATGTCACCAATTTCGAACGTACCTGCCATTTCACTCCAAACACTAAGGATTTTCCCACATAGAAAGTCGCTTATAAAATCACGGGATCGTGCAAAACTGAAGGGACTTTCGACGAGTTATTTCAAGCACCATGATTTTGGTACACTAGGTTTATTACTTAATGCTCTTAGTTCGATCCCTCAAACTCGAGATTCGCGTATGAGAGACGAGGAACGCACCGCACTGGTCAGCCCTGCTGGGGCGTATGCTCTCACAGAAATCCTAAAGAAGCAACTGAAACGCAAAAATCACAGCATTTCTCTCCTCATCGACAAAAGTAGGCGATTCTGAAGACATATGTAAATTATTCAACAAAACATTTGCAGCTGACTACCTTGAGCCTACAGTCCCGTTATTATTATTATCTATTTTCTTTTCACGACGGTACCGGAGGACTGACTGGTAAAAGGATCAACTCTATTAACAGCAGTGACAAAGTCTTAACGCGTCACATACCACAAACAAAATATGATTAATCCCAGCACTACTCACTTTGGAGTAAACTAAAGCTACGACGGTTGAGTGGCGGGAGGGACTACGCAGAAGTTTACCGAAAGGCCAGAAAACCTTACTTCACACTGAAGAGGCGAGCACAAAGATATCAGATTGGTTTACACTAGCTCGTAAGCACGACATTGGATATTTGATATCAGGACTCAATATCAATGTTGACAACTGGACTGTTTTGTTTATGAGGGCCTGACCCGCGCTCTCTGAATTTCACCATTGGATAAAGGCACACGCGGGGTGTCGTTATGTGTTATCGCGATGTTGTGTTCGGGTTGTTCTACGTTGTTTTCAGGTGTTTTTTCAACTGAAATACATTATAAATACCATATTTTAACGAAAAAACTTAGAAAAATGGTGGAAAGTAGACACTTTCAGCAGTTTGAGTGAACATGTATCTGTCATTGAATTTCGTTATTTCTTTCCATGTGGAATGTTAAAACTCTGTGTAAATTGTTGATTACGTTAAGGAAAACGAAATCAATTAGGCAATTGATGCATATTTTGGGATATTCGGAAAGGGTGTTTTGAATCTCTGAGATATGAAAACTTGGTAACATTCAGAAGAGTCTACTGCTATAAAGGAGTGTTAGTTGATTTATTCGCAAGATAACAGTTAATAAACAAATTTTTTTAAACAGTTACTTTGGTTTGGAGTATTTTCGTGTTGTTAATTATTTGTTAACGGATGTCATACTATTGTTGATTTGCAGGTTGCAATTGTAATTTACGGAGTGATTCACTTTATTTGGAGGCTTTAATGAAGTGCAATTGAAGAATTTGCGCGTTATCGTTAGAATCTTTGTGATATTATAAAATTATTTGTCAAAATAAATATCTCTTTAATGTTTTAACGGTGTTCTTTAAAGTATTCACTACTACTTCCCTTTGCTTGTCGAAGGAATAGTGATGTAGCCGGTTTTGGAATGCGTAGTAATTTAATCTGAAAGAGCGATAATTTACGCAACATAAGAATACTAGGATTTTCTTCAATAGGATATACCTATAACGCGTTATTTTCGATGTACGTAGCCGCCCTACATTTGTTATTATGTATACGTAGTAATCGCAAAACAAACCTAAGCTCAACGTACATTTTTTCGCAAGCCCTGATGAAAGATAATCTTTTACGCAGCCGTATTGAGTGTAACTGAAACATTTCATGGGAGGCTTGATGACGCACTGAGGAAATAATAACGGTTTACGATTATCACGCATTTCACACAAGTATTACTACGTTGCCTATCAACTTCGTTAACTATGCAATGTCCTGGAAATGATAATTAAGAGAGATACATGTAGTCAACATAAATGCATATATTTACAAAATAAAAACAGTTAAACAGTACATATTCACATTAAAAAGGGTGGAAAAAAATCACAGTTGTAGATTTTTTATGGGTACATGATTGTCAAATTAAAGTCCACTAATCGTTTTATCCACAATATGTGGATCAGTTTCCCTTAGATGATTGTGACACTGGACCAGTCTTTACAGCTTTCAGCACCACCTGATCCTTCAGAAGAAACTGGTTATGACCTTTCTATGCAAAGATTGAGATTGTATTCCTTTGACCACCTCCGGCCACACTGAGAAATATCTAAGGATATATACATATCAAGTGAATTAATCTTACCTCAGGTGAACAATCCCTAATCTTAGCAACAATGAATATGTGAACAAGGGAGGGAACAATAGTAGAATCGGTATGAACAGTCCATATATCCCATAATAAACTTGAAGAATCCTAAAACTTCCGATTTATCTTTCACAGTTTGTCTTCTGCAAAATGCAAATATTACTCAAATGCCTCTCCTCTCTGTCCGTTACAATCAACTGAAAAAGACTAAATCTTCAAACTTTATACTTCTTTGATTAAGTTACCCAATAATATTCTCTTTTTTAGTGGGTCCACATGCATATCACATCTGTAGAATCTATACATGCGTTAACTTGTGTCCTTAAGCTGAAAAAATGTAATGTTTATGCGACTTTTATTAGTATCATTTCAAAGCCCGCCTCAGTAACGTGAGCTACGTATTAGGCACATCGTTTACGCAAAGTAAAATCTACCAATCACAGTACGCATATGTGACCTTGAGGTGCTCAGCCTCTCCATAAGGTCGTGTGCGCCTTTATCCATTGCCTACCATTTCGGGGATAGGATAGAGGCACAAATCAGCTGATTGCTGCAATTCTAAGGTGTTACCGTGGCGTTGTGTTTTGGCTATTCTACGTTGTTTTCAGTGGTTTTTTCGACAGAAATGGACTTTAAAAATCGCATTTTAACGAAAAAACGTGTAAAAAGTGAGAACAGTGGTCTTTTTTAATGTGTTTACAAAATGCTCTCTTTTTATTGAATTGACATACTGAGGTGCATAAGAAATGTCAGAATTTGTTGGAAAATGTCAATTATGATGTAAAATGCAAAATAACTTCAATTGTTTCAGTGTATTTTACGTAAATGATTAGGAGAGAGTTAAATATCTAGGTAATTATGATTTCATTATGTTTACAAAATTTCACAGTAATAAAGGAAACTGAGTTGGTAATTTCGTCAGATAACGGTGAATAAACAGTCATTTAACTGGTAGGTACTGTGTTTCAAGTTATTTATTTCGCCCATCATTTCCTGACTGAATTTTTGTCATTTTTAATTTCCAGGTTATGGTCTCCAATTCCACAATCACTCAATACATTTAGACATTCCAGTGAGGTTAAAAAGGATAATATTTTTTGTAATTGATGAAATATTTGTGATATTATGAATGTTTTTGTCGAAATAAATATTGTTTTAAAAATTTGGCACCTTATTCGTACACTAATAATACTTACTGTTTGTCAAGTTGCAAAGTGATGCTAGTGTAGAAGACATAATATTGGTAAAGTGCCATATTTACACCTGGTTGAATTTAGACACGATAGGGGTACTGTTATCGCTTTCGCTAGTAAACCCTAAACAGGCGATATGCACAACAAAAGCCTACCCAGCTAGCATTTTCTTCGGGCGCATTGCAGACTTTTTGGGGCAAAAAACTTCGGGTAAATCTACTTACGTGGGACACTGTCCCGAAGTCTGCCTCAAAAACTCTGCGATGCGCCCTAAGTCTGCCCCAAGAAGTCTGCAATGCGCCCTAAGTCTGCCCCAAGAAGTCTGCAATGCGCCCTAAGTCTGCCCCAAAAACTCTGCGATGCGCCCTAAGTCTGCCCCAAAAAGTCTGCAATGCGCCCTGACTTAATATGACTAACTGCGACCTGGGATGACGTGTCTACGGTTCCTCATTTAACTATTAGTCGACAATTAAATCAGAGTTAAATCTATTACGCACACAGGTCGTCTCAAAAAACGATAAACTGGCAGTAGCTCAACGACTCACATTAACAAAAAGCAGTTGATTTTAATTGAAAATATATTTAATAATCTTGGCAAAAAAATTAACAATCTTCAGATAACTTTCTAAAGTAGAACATCCTATAAATCACCAGGAAAATTCACCCGTGTGCTTTCGGCGTCTGGTAGGTTTTCTTTGTTGACGTCGACGGTGATCTGAAAAATGAAGGAGATAGGAGATATAGGGATATTGACTTCGCATTAAAAAAAAACCCAAGTATTCGATGGAAGGATTACGGATACTTGGGAAAAAATAAAGCTTGAAGTCAATTCCCTTATATAACAATAAAAAGAATCTTATAATAATATACTGTTTTCACGGAAACAAGATATATCTATATACGCAATGGAGGAGAATGGAATAACGATAGTAAACACAGTTGGCATAAGTTAATACTATTGTTTTGTATCCTTGATATCGGTCAACTGTGGCTCACTGTAAACTGTAGTACTCTTTAAGTCATGACAATTTTGGGGTGTGCAATATGAAAATTATAACGGAGTTATGCAAAAGACTTAAGCAAATGCACTTCGCCCGAATTTCACTGAAAGCCCGTAAACTTGTGTCACCCTCAAAGTTATCTACCTGATATATCCCAATATCCCTCGAATCTAGTGGGTTTTTAAAAAAGCTATTTGGATTCTTATAAGCTCGGAATCGAAACTGATTTCCGTTTACAATTTCTGAAACCACTCCTGGTGTATTGCATACCACAAAGCAATTGTCAGGAGGATATGAGCTTACTTTAAAGTTGGCAAACGTAGCAGTCTGCTTAGACACATTTACAGATACATTAGGTGTTATCTCTGATTTTGCAGAATCAGCTTCGACTAACCATCTTTCTCCTATGCGTTTACCTATCTGAACTGCTGGGTTATTGGGACCTTTGACTAGAGTCTGGAGAAAACGCATGTTCGATTCAAATGGGAAACATGAGAAAGTGTCCAGTGGTCCGTGCTGTTTCACGTCCTCACAAATATGAAGTAATCCATGGATATTGTATACCATGTTTTCCTCCCCAAATAATGACCTAAAGTTCCCAACGAATTTCAATAATAAACCCTTCACGTCATCTAGGTAATAGGAAGAATAAGCCGGGTGACTTAAGATGTAACATGACAAGAATAAATCGAAGAAGTTGTCATAAAAGCAAGGTGGTAATACGTCTTTAAGGTATACCACTCCTAAATATAAAAGAAAAAGCCTACACTCCGTTGCTTTCCAATGGTCAATGTCGTCTAATGTTCGACACTTACGCTGGAATTCAAAAGGAGTCAGCTTGTGTGAGCCGAGTAGTTTGCAGTTAACAGTGTTCAATATCGTAGGATGCATGCCATCTGCCCTAGATGTGGCCATGGATTTCCACAGGCCAATCAACTTTCGAACTACACCTAAGTATATGAGATGCATGCTATCTATAGGGGAAACAGTGATCATGTCTACATGCAATCTCTCGAAAGGAGATTTACCCTTATGGTGACATGGCAAAGTTTGGTTGCGAAAAGACATGTCTGTTCTTAAAGCAGCACATGTAGTAGGAAAAACCATGCGATGATTAGCACGACAGCATAAAGCCTCACATTTATCGCATCCTTGTGTTGAATTGTGACCACTTATTTGCTTAACTAGTGCTCTTGCTGGTGTATCACAGATGACGGCCTTAAGTACAATGTCTATGCGATGATTGTTGGGTAATGTGACACCATTGGCACAAATGTTTTCTTATTCGATGATAGTGTCCCTCAAAAAACTGTGTATACTTAAAGGTTTACACGAACCACAGTAGACTCCTACCAAGAATACCTTGTCACAGCCCGACAAAAGTAACTTTCCTTGTATTGGCCACATCTGTAATTTGGAGTTGTTGAAAATTGGGGCACCATCAATGTTCAGCTGAAGAGCAATTGGCACAGAGACTTTACATTTGACAATTTGTAACCGAGATAAAATCTGACGACGAAGACCAATGTGAACATATATTCCAGGACCAACTGCTCTCCTTTCTAAAACGTCTTTAGTCCTCATCAATGTCCGAGGGTCAGTCGGCAGTTCACGAAGATGTGGCCTTAATTCTTCCAGCAAAATACGAGTAGTAGTCATATTCAGCTTGCATCTATAGACGACGTTGCGAACAGAATCCACTGGAGTGCACTCGGTTTGGTCAACTTCCTCTGTTGCAGACAGTTGTTCATTCGGTAAATGCTCATCAAATGACGGTGGAGGTGCCATGCTATTACAAGGAACATCAACTGGAACGATAATTTGTTGGGGAGTAACCATGTTTCCTGCCATTGTTTCAGGTTGTGGTTCACTTGCAAGAATTTTCGCATATGATTCTGTGTACATTAATATGAAAGGACAAGCTTACCTTCTACACGCTTCTTCCAATCCAGATTGTACTTTTTTAGACGCCGATAGTATGTTGACTTATATCGTCTTAAGTCAAAATTGACTAGCGCTGCATCGTCAAAGAAGATTGATTAATAAACTTACGTAGTCTAGAATTCTTCCGGCGGTATGGTTCGACATTAGCTGGTGGTCTGCTGTCATTTAGCGTATTATTGATACTTGACGGAGAAATGTTGGAGCTCATGTTACCTGGAAGAAACCGGAAAAACGGTTAAAAAACGGATTCCTGCAGTCTACACAACTTATACGCTATACCTAATAATAAAAATGGCCGGTACTGTTATAGTTGCAACATAAAACGTATAACGACGCAAGTAATTACTTGGAAAACTTCGTAAAAAAGAAGGGTGACAAAGAGGACAACTCACAGAAATGGAAATAAAAATGGTGGATTCCGCCGCTTCGAAGGATTTCAGTACAGTAAAACATTTCTCAGGAAGGGGCCTTTGGTGATGTATTGAGATAGTAAAAGTACATTTAATTGATTGTTTATATTAAAAGAGTTTGTTATTTTTAATTATGTGTTATTAATCACTAACTAAGATTCATTGTAACGCAGTTCTCAGAAGTTAACTGTCATTGGTTGAGGACGTACATCAGGGTTATTCCCATTGGTTGATTTGTAGCCAATAACCGTTCATCAGGTTGCCCCAAAAAGTCTGCAATTTGCCCAAAGTTTGCCCCAAAAAGTCTGCAATGCGCCCAAAGTCTGCAATGCGCCCGAAAAAATGCTAGCTGGGTATCTAATGCGTTACAGTATTTTATGTAAGTAATCAATCAAATTTAGTGACGTAATCAGCTAATGCACGAGTCTGAGTGTTAATGTGATCATGTAAGAGCCTATTGATACGAAATGATAGCACAAGAAGAGTAATGTAGTTATCTCTTTATTACGCAATGATTTCCTTTGAGGTAGTGGTGTTATACGCAACATAAGAATAGCAGACTATTTGTGATAAATAGGATATACGTTGCATAGTGAGCATGAAGTGCCTAGACTACCACTACAAGTCGTGTACGTACAGGACCTATATTTGCTAGGTTATGTTTCGTTATTACACATGTTTGACGGCTACTTTCTTAACAATCGCGAATACCAATATTATACGCAACTGAAACACTTTACGCAAGGCTTAATGATGCATTGAGGAAATAGTAATATTTTAAGACTGACGCATTTCACATAAGTATTAATACGTTGCCTACCATATTCTCGTTAACTCTGCAATGTCCTCAAAATGATAAGTGAAAGAGACAAAGTTAGTCGACATAAATGCATATATTTGTGAAGAAAAAATAATCAGTTAAGTTAAAAATGGCTCAGAATGAAAGAGTACATATCTACACTAAAGAGAGTTAATAACAATCCAGTGAAAAAATCACAGTTGTAGAGCCTTTTTATAGCTGCATCATAGTCATCACAAAGTCCACCAAACACTCTATCCACGACATCTGTATCAGTTTGCCTCCGTTGTTAGTGGTGTTGAACCAGTCTTTGCAGTTTTCGTCACCACCAGCTTGCAAGCAGAGAGATTGAGATTCAGATTCAGATTTATTGGTTGAGGATAGAAGGCTTGCAGCCTATGTTAATCCTTTTCTAGTAGATTTCTGTGGTTGTCCAAACCCTTCTTGAACGAATCAGTTGAGGTTGCAGACACCACTTCTTCTGGGAGTCGGTTCCAAGAGTTTATGACTCGATGTGAGAACCAGTACTCAACAGCAATATGATTTCTCCTTGGCTTTTGAACTTTCCTGCTATGTCCTCTAAGGTGTTCCGACCTGGTGGGAAGGAAAAGAGAGAATAGGTCAGGTCCGTAGTCATTATTTAAAATTTTAAACATTGTGATTAAATCTCCTCTCTGCCTACGGTATGACAGTGAGAAGAGATTTAAACTATCTAGTCTTTCCTCGTATGATAAGTTAGCTATGCCGTGAACCATACGTGTTGCCTTCCTTTGAACACTTTCTAGAATGTGTGAATCCCCTTTTAGACACGGACTGGCGGCCTGGATGCAGTTTTCCAGTCTTGACCTAACCAGAGATGTGTATAAGGAGGTGAACATATCTCTGGTAATTCTTGTAAAGGCTCTGCGAATCGCCCATAAGGACCTGAAACTACGTGCAGCCACCGCGCGACAGTGTGCTGTAGTTTTTAAGTCGTGGCTAACTATGACACCTAAGTCCAAGTGAGTCTGAACTGATGGAAGTGTTATTCCCTCTAGTTCGTAGGAGCTCGTGCTTGCTTGTCCAATGCGCATGGTTGCACATTTTGCCACATTGATCGGGAGCATCCATTCAACAGACCACTCCGACAATTTGTTGAGGTCGTCTTGCAAGGTGAGCGTATCACTGTTGCCCTTCAGCTCTCTCCAAATTTTTAAGTCATCTGCGTATAGGACCATAGGGGAGTCGGTGAGCAGAGGTAACTCATTGATATACAGAATAAAAAGGAGAGGACCGAGAACCGTGCCTTGTGGCACTCCGCTACTTACTGCTGTCCAGGAGGAGAGTTTTGAGTTGATCCTAACCCTCTGCCTCCTATCTATGAGGAATTCCCTGAGCCAGTCTAGTAGTCTGCCTTTGATACCAAGACTTTCCAATTTCATGAGTAGTCTTTTGTGAGGTACTTTATCAAAGGCTTTACTGAAGTCTATGAAGACGACGTCAACGGGTCTTCTGTTGTCCTTTGATTTGACCCAGCTTTCTCTTGCAGTCAGGAGATTTGACAGGCATGAGAGGTTCCTCCGGAAGCCATGCTGTGCTCCAGATAACAAGCTGCTATTTTCCAGATAAGCCATGATGCTTTTCTTGATAATTCTTTCCAGTGTCTTGATTAAAGTGCTGGTGAGACTGATAGGCCTGTAATTTGAAGGGCTTTGTCTTGATCCTCCTTTGTGTATGGGGGTTACTATGGCGTCTTTCCAATCACGTGGCAACACTCCATTTAGGAGAGATAGCTTGAAGATCGTGGTCAAGGGGCCGGCTATGTGGGCTGATAGCTCCTTGAGAAGCCTTGGATGAAGACTGTCAGGACCCATTGATTTTCCTGCATCTAGTTTCATTAAGAAGTTGAGCACGATGCCTTGGTCGATGTCAACGGAATCTATCCCATGTTCTTCTGATGCAGCCAGAGCTGATCCTATAGGCAGTGATGACTCCTGAGTGAAGACTTGGGAGAAGTAGTTTGCCATTGCTTCTGCTTTTTCTTGATCTTCTTCGATTGTATCTTTGTCAATAATCAGGTTTGGGACACCATTGGGTGTTTTATTCCTGAAATTCAAGTACGAGAAAATTTTCTTAGGTTGTGCCTTTGCATTTTGGGCCAGGTGTGTCTCGAACTTCATCCTTGATTGGCGGATTTCTGCGATAGCTTTATTTCTAGCAGTAGTATATAATTCCCTGGTCTCAGAAGTCTCAAGTGTTGCAAACAGGTTCCAACATTTGCGTTTACGTCTGAGTAACTTACGAATCTCCCGGTTTATCCAAGGGGGGAATGTTTCCGACCCTTTGGAACAGACCAAGGGATGAAGGGTACAGTTACTTGGGCGTAAAGTTGCTTAAATTGGTTCCATGCGGCTTCTACTTGGGACTCTGGATTGATGTACCAGTTTACTGAGTTGGCTGCTGAGACGATCGCATTTATGTCAGCTTTCCAAACGTTTGGTCGAGCTGGGGTTTTGGCCCTTGCTGCCGTTGCTGTGAACTTGAAAGTGAGCACAGCATGGTCACTTCTTCCTAACGGAGGAAGATGTTGTATGAGATCCACATCCTCACCGTGTGAGAACACTAGGTCCAGAGTTGATGAGGAGTGCTGTGAGTCATAGCGCGTGGGCTTAATGATATGTTGGACTAGGGCTAGCGATATACTAGATTCTAGCAGTTTATGGTCAAAGGAGTTGACTGAAGATGGAGTTGTTAGGCTCGACCAGTCAACTGTTGGGGCGTTGAAGTCACCGACTACGAGACTTCGACATTTTGAAGTCCAGGAGCCTAGCTTCTCTATTAGGAAGTCGTCTGCACTGCAGTCAGGACTGCGGTACACAGCAATGAGGTCAATGTCTTGGCCTATGCATTTAAGTCTGCAGCGTAGAAGTTCGCACGACTCACTTTCGTGGGCGAGTGCTTCGATACTACGCACGGTTAAGCCTTTCTTGAGGTAGATGACTACGCCCCCTCCTTTGCGGTTTAGTCGGTCTACCCTGTGCACTTCGAAGTTTGGCAGGTTAACTTCGTTGTCAGTGACATCGGGTGTGAGCCATGTCTCTGTGATAATAATTACATCCGGGTTTCCGGTTTCTATCATGTTTGCCAGCTCAGTCCTTTTATTTAACAGGCTGCGGGCGTTTGTGTAGCAGACTGTTAATTCAGATTGGTGCTTCCCCGGCCCACCCACAGAGGTTTCGGGATCATTAAACTGCGAACTCGGACAACCCGAAAACCCTTAATCTTAAGGTTCTTCTCACCGTTCCGGCGTCGCTCACTTAATTCTAGTGCCGCAGCCTGTCTTTTGACACGGTCTGCTAGGCTTAAGTCAGCGCGGACATATATCCCTGATCCTTTGAGAATATGAGAGTTGCTTAGAATAGCGTCCCTCTCTGCTTTAGAGTTTAGTACGACTTTGAGGAGACGTACAGGTTCACTTACTGTAGGGTCAGGCTTTTGACCTATTCTGTATACGCTGTGTATAGTAATGCCTGATACTGTTTGTGGCAGTAGCTTGTCTAAAAGGGGCTTGACCAAGTTAAGGTCATGCTCGAATCTGGTCTTAGGGTCGAGGGCCAGTGACTCCTCCACTTTGTGGAGAATGAGAGACCTATCAGAGAGATCGGGTTTGCTTTCCGTGACTTTCTTGCCCTGAGGCGTAAGTGTGTTTCTATCCTTCTTGGGCGGTGTGGCCGAAGTGTTATCCTTATCTCGCTTTTTGCGAGAGACTACGGTGCGCCATTCATTGGCGTCCTCCTCGCTAATCTTAGTGGGGTTCGTCTGTCTGCTGCTCACCGGTGTGGATGAGGCTTGTTCCGCCAGTCCCTGGGCGACTGGAGCTGCAGGTTTTCGACCCCTAGTACGCCTCTTCTTCACGGCAGTCTTTCCATTACTGTCACTGGAGGGCTCATCCAGTATCGTGGGGGCGACCTGGGTGTCTGTAATATGGTGGGTGTTCTTCTGTGCTGTAGAGCACTCACTTATTGGCAAGGTCGCATCTGGGACATGTGCTGTTTTGTCAATGACGCTAGTCACGTCATCGCTATCTGAGCAATAGTCGGTATTCTTCTGTGGTGGAGGACGCTTGCAGTCCATGAGCTTTAAAGCCCCACTAAGAGTAGCTATGGCTTCTGTAATACGGAGTTTAGTTGTACTACAGCAGTCGTTGCCCAACCAGTTCGCTAGAGGTTTGCAGCAGCGTTTGTATGCTGCTGGAGTAAGGTTCGTGCACATACTGTGAAACCATCTCTTGCAGTTATCACACTGCATTCCCTCATCCACTGGAAACTGGCACATAGCCCTTCCGCAGCGGTTTCTTTTGATAGGCATTTTATTTAAAACGAACCAGGAAAAGTTAAATACAACTTCAAATATATATATATATAACCTTTGTAAATCAGTGATAAAAGCTAATGAGTGCACAAAGATAGATATATGTAGCTATTATGTTATAAGAACACAACTTCCTATAATTAATAGACTCAGATCTGAAACGTAAACTAACTTCGATCAGAATAAACTGATTTAAAGTTAAATCTGTGGACTTTTATTACTCTTATCCATCCGTTACAATTAACTGAAAGATATAAAATCTTCAAACTTTATACTTCTTTGATTAAGTTACCCAGTAATATTCTCCTTGTAAGTGGCTCTAATGCTTCTCACATCTGTGAAATTTATAAGCATGTTAACTTGGTCCCTTAAGCTAGAAAATATAATGTCTATCCGCTTTTATTATTGCTATTTCAAAGCGAAAATAGATATAGGCAGTTTTTTATTGGCTGTTGGCTAGCTGGCTTTTTATTGGTCTAAAATATAAATTAAAGCGCCAATCTCTTTATTTTTACACGCAAATTTACAGTCAGTAAAATTTCGGGCTTACCTTACCATAATATAATGGCGTGTTAATTTTTTTGGTGTGAGTGTAGTGTGACAGTCACACGCTATTTGGATGCATTGTTGATGTTTTAAGTATGTTGAGATGTATGAGAATGTCCAGAAAGTGAATATAAATCAACAATAATTTTGATGCATTTATTTTAAGTCCAAAATAGGATGTATGCATTTTTCATTACTAGGCGAATATAATTTAACTACAATTTCTAAAAATTTAATGTGTCCTTAATTAGTACATATAGATAAATGCATGTATTAACTAATCTACTTTTTTAAGTCGTCAATTCAATGACATGTGGGATTTGTGCATACTAGGTCAGCATAAGTCAAGTAAATTTCCCTTCAAACGGCTGAGAGCGACAGTTTAAAGCATACCTTGGTTGATTATTTCGTGATGAAAGCAATTTGGAGTCAGTTATAAATTACACCGATCTGTGTCTTATTCATACGTTTTTCAGCTGAGGATTTCCGGTTCATAGCATATCCTGAATAACGGTGATTAATACGATTTATCACTTGGACCGCAGCACCACCAAGCTTAAAACAATTCTAAATTTATTCTAACTTATTCCTCGATAATGCCTTTTTATGGTAACTGAAGAACATATTTACCCACTATGTTCTGAAATGACATAGGTCGTGCTTAAAAAGACAGCTGCGTGCTGAATCAAAACTTTCCGCTAAGGAGAAACGCTAGTCCATGCTTAATATGTCCTGTGAGGGCTGGACCAAAGTTGATAAGCAGACCCAGTAGGTTCGATTTAGTGCCACTCACGCTGAAAAATCAGCGCACAGTTTCACTGTCAAACAATGGCAAAACAGTAAGGGAGTTTAATGTTACTATTACTAGCATAGTCTATGTTACTATGTTAGCATAGTATACGTTAATTAGCTCAATGATTGCAGGTTTACAATAATCTTTGACTACCAACATAATAACTGTGAACTTCAGGCTAAAAATAAGCTAAATAGTAGCACCCAGTGACAAAAACTGACCTACACACTGCAAAACGAGCAAAACATCCAGAAAAACCTTTAAAATTCAATGGAAAACGATTTCACGAAAACATATAACTAGCCGGCGCAGGAACTCATCATGACCTAGAAACTGACTGTAGCCTCTTTCTTTCAAAGCCCGCTTCAGTAACGTAAGGCACGTATTAGCCGCAACGTTTACGCAAAGGAAAATCTACCAATCACAGCTTGCATAAGTGACCTACAAGTGCTCAACCTCTCCATAAGCCATTTGTGCCGCTATCCTATCTCACCATTACACCACTCTCTTACCGAACTGTCCTTGTGATTATCCCCCTGCTGTGGCTGTCGGTCGTTGTGTTACAATGTCTACGCCGTCTAATGGTCCTGAAACTGGAACCTCAGCTACTGATATGGAGAGTGTTTACAGGTGGGTGGCTTCCCTGCCAAATATGGAAACAAGAGAAAACGCTCTCCTCGAACTTTGGTATGTTGTATTATTAACCGTTAAGAGTCCATTTATGAAGCAAAAGGAGGGAGTCTGTTCCTGAACTAGCTGTCATTATCTGGCACTCATTTGGTTCCGTAGCTGCTTTACTTCAGGAGATATGTTCCATCTACCCCTACATAAATCCTCCAAACTTAAGCGTAACTTGCCATTTTTCCTGTGTCTAAGTATGTATACTTATATATGTATATATATATATATGTCTATCCAGATTTTAGGCATATGGTAAAAGTGGTAAGATTAGGATCAAATCCTGTTTAAACCACTGGTCGAATGTGTGAAACTTTCCCAGTTGGTGAATGCACATGGGTAGTGTGGTCTTAACGGGAAATTTTGATCGGCTTAGACGTAGGCAAAAAGTGGGTGAAATGAGAAATAATATACCGATGTCTCCATATTGGCCACTTATCCCCCGTTTGCCCATGTTCTCATGTCCCGCTTTCCCCCTATTAACTACACTGACTCTGCTTTAACCTATTTATCTCATTTGTGGAAAGCCAGGAGCTACGCACTCCCTTCCCCCTTTATCCATGTTAGGACCGAAAATACCACAAGCTCTACAACGGAAGGCTTCCCACATTTTTGCCCACATATCCTGGGTCTGAAGAAATATCCTCCGATTGAGCTGGTTCAATGTCGGTATAATCTTGGTTGAATAATGACCACATTGGTAAGCTTTTGGTTGAATGATGGTAGGAATCCACCATGCCCATTATCCACCTCTTCTGACATTTTGATCCGACTGTGCATGCATACATATATATGTATATCATAGATACAACATACCGCAAAGTTGGTTGGCTGTGGTATAACAGTGTTTGGGATTATTTGAGTATTCCATTGGCGAACATTATCTTCGGAGTGGGCGTGTAGAATCAGTCGTCTTGCTAATTCCAAGACAAAGATGAGCATTCGTGTGATTTCATTGTGGAACATTTTCACTTACACGTAGTCATAATGAGTATCTATATTCATCTTTGAGGGGTTGTCTAGATGGTCTGGGACTAATACATATTGGTCAGGTTTTAAGTTATGGATAACAATAGCATTGTTTATTAGACATCAAAATGAGCACAATTCCATACTTGTACCGAAAATACAGTGTGGAATCAAGCTGTAAATCAAAAAAAAAAATAAAGAAACAACCACTGATCTAATCGTAGGTTCTTTGGCAATCTTAAAGTGTAGCAGAATTGTTGAGGAAGTGTGTTATACTAACCGAGGCACTGAAATAATGGAAACATTTCTTGTCTGTCACTCTTCGATTTAGCAATCGGCAGACAGGTGGGTATAACTTTGGCGGATCACAATGTCCCGGGAATTGTGTTGGTACCATTGTGATTCAGTTGAAGACTGGCATTATACATCCTGAGTAGAACTCTGTGTATGTTTGTCAAGTTTTACGTTCTGACTTGAACTGCTGCACTTTTGTGTAAAGTTCTGCGTTGAGAATTCAGTCAACTTGAGATTCTCCCTGTAAGTCACAGGTTCAAATGTCATTGCTTCTATATTTTGAGGGGAATTATTTTACGTTTCACGAGGTTGTGTATTCATTTCGCTTACATACATAGAGTTGGTTTTTGTTTGAATTTCTTACATAGATAATTTGCGTGAGAGAAAACTCTTTCAACTGATATACTTGCATTTATTCATATTATTGTGATATTTGTATCTGTGATTGTGCCGTTTGTAAAATAACCCATCAATATATCCATGTTCGCCTCTATAGGCCCATCAATCGAATCGTGTCTGTAATGCACTCGCTTTCATGCAGTGCTTGGCATCCCATCCAGAAACCAGAAAGGAGTTTCTGAAGGCCAATATACCTCTGTACCTCTATACGTTTTTAAATACAAACAATCAAACACGTCCATTCGAGTACTTAAGGTTGACTAGTCTTGGAGTGATCGGTGCACTTGTTAAAGTAAGCGTTGTTTCTTATGCACTTGAAAACATCATATTTGCAAACGTTTTTGTGAATTTATGAAATATTCTTTAAAAAGCTTACCTATGTCATCTGGTTAGTGCTTGATCGATTTACAAAAACTCGTTGAAATTTGACTATCTTTTGTACCTTTAGCTTTAAAGCTTTACTTCTGAAGAAGTAAGTCCATAACTTTCGGATCACTTAACGAAATAAGTGAAAAATGGCTCCTATTCGTCAGTCATAGGTGTGAGTTTTGATCTTTATCTTTTTGGGTTTTCCTACAATAAAGCAGATTTATTAGTTCACTTAGCGAAACACAATAATAGCGTTATTTACTGATAATATTTTAAACTACTCCAACCCGGTGCTCGGATTCTCCTGCACTATATTCTTTTAAAAAGAATTTGACAGTCGCGTTTTGAACATGACGGTTGATTATCAGGACATTAATGTTCGGTAGAAAACTGTGTGTGGTGTTCAAAATGCCTTCTTTACTATTGCAGATTTTCTGAGATAACTAGGATAATATTTAGTAGTCTACAGGTGTAAATCATAAAGGGAAACTAATGCAGTTTATATGATAGATTATTTCAAGACTTTAAATTGGACTATCGAAGCTGACCAGCTCATATCCTTGAGTTCGGATGTCTGTTCCATGACTCGACATACGATTTGGTTATGCAATATCAGAGGTATTCTGGTCTAAAGAGTGAGTTTTGAAAACAACCTGTTTACAGGTAATGACCACAGGGTTTATTTCAGTCTGTTCTCTCACTGTTTTACTGCTTCATGTGATTGGAAATGGTGTTTTCTCTTGTTGAATCCATTTCGGTAAGGATGGGTGCAAAAGTAATATGATATTTAGACATTGATACAGTGACGGGATAAGTTAATAAGAATTTGTAAAATATGATTGGTAATCACTCAGTTAAACTAAAATCGCTTTAGTTTGAACCTAAAGGTTTATTGGAAAGACGAAACCGTCATGTAAAAAGATAGGTGAAACCCAAAACTGGTCACTCGAAACGTGTTTTTAATGGTTCTTTAGAACCACCTAGTCTTTGGAATAAATCAGACTGCTTCAGCTAGACACCATTCCCGTGATAAGTAGTGGTACAAACATTAGTAATTCAGAAGTACCATTTCATTATTCTCACCAGATACTAGCTTGCTAGGCTACTAGCTTACTAGTTTTCTAGCCGGTCCCAAGCCCGGGTTGGGGCGTGGTGCTAGCAACTCCACCCCTGTAAAACAACCAAATCGCTACAGAAACTTCAACGAATAAATATATTAAAAATTCTAAAAACATGGGCAATAGCCTTACTTTTCACTGGAATCGGGGAAGTGAAATGACGCAGGCTGGTGAAAGCTAGCCTTCAGGAAGCCAGTCAGCCGATGTGCCTTCTTTCGATGAAAGCAAAAGTAAGGATGGGTACCTGGAATGTTCGCACAATGTACGAAACTGGAAAGGCTGCCCAGATAGCCGCTGAAATGAGAAGGTACAGAATAGAATTGTTGGGAATCTGAGAAAGCAGATGGAACGGAACTGGAAGGTGCCAACTACCTACTGGAGAGACAGTAGTCTTTTCCGGCCACCCAGAGGACAACCATGAGCACACCAAGGGAGTGGCCATCATGATGTCACCAACAGAAACCAAAGCTCTCATGCAGTGGGAACCAATCTCCTCCAATATAATGACAGCCAGGTTCAACTCAAAAGGAAGGAAAGTTAAAGTCATTCAATGTTATGCGCCTACAAACGTCTCAGAACAAGAGAAGAAAGAGGCGTTCTACAGACAACTACAAGCAATAATGGACAACGTCCCAAATGGCGATATCAAAATCCTGATGGGCGACATGAATGCGAAGCTGGGACGAGACAACACAGGAAGAGAACTCGCCATGGGTCGTGAGGCCCCCGGTGAAATGAACGACAATGGCGAACTCTTCTCAGACTTCTGCACCTTCAATGATTTGGTGATTGGTGACAGTGTGTTCAAACACAAGGATATACACAAGACAACATGGGTTTCACCAGATGGAAACACCAAGAACCAAATAGACTTCATCTCAATTTCAAGAAAGTGGAGACGGAGCCTACTGGACACAAGGTCAAGGAGAGGAGCAGATGTGGGTTCAGACCACAATCTAGTAGAAGGGACTTTCAAGGTGAAACTAAAAGCCTCGAGGATAGCTGGGGATAGGCCACAATGCAAGTTCAACACTCAATTACTGAAGGACACAACCACAAAAGACACCTTCACTGCAACTGTCAGAGCAAAGCAGGAAACACTACGCGACATCACTGAAGAATCATGCGTGGAAGAACATCGGAAGTCTCTGAAGGTGATTCTCCACGAAACGTGTTCAACGGTTCTAGGGAGAAAGAAGAGACAAGACAAGGAATGGCTCTCAACGGACACTTGGAAATTAATAGAAGAGAGGAGAATGGTGAAAGAGAAAATGATTCAATGCAAAGGCGGACAACAGAAAGACATGCTGAGCTCAACTTACACAGCACTTGACAAAGAAGTGAAGATGAGGGCCAGGAAGGACAAAAGACGATTCTACGACAATCTGGCCACTGAAGCTGAGAAGGTAGGTGGCAAAAGGGACCTGAGGACACCATATCAGATAACCAAGTCTCTATTCGGGAAGAGATCAACACAAGTGAAACCTATAAAAGACAGCCAAGGGAACCCAATTACCAAGGAAGAAAAACAGATTAAACAATGGGCGGATCACTTCAAAGGACTCTTGAACCGACCATCACCTGCAACCCGTCCAGAAATACCAACAACAGCGCGTACACAACTGCAAGTTGACACCGATCCTCCAACGAGAGCTGAAGTCTTGAACGCAATCAAGCTTCTGACAGCAGACATGCTGACTCCATTATTGCAAAAGGTCTGGAAGGAGGAAAAAGTGCCTACTGACTGGAGGAAAGGTTACCTCACGAAACTACCAAAGAAGGGCGACTTAGGACTCTGCGAGAACTGGCGAGGAATCATGCTCCTATCGACGCCAATTAAAATCCTGAGTAGCATCATCCTGGAGAGAATAAAGGGGGCGCTGGATGCAGAACTCTGACCAGAACAAGCTGGATTCAGGAAAGTCAGGCGAATCATGTTCCGACCAAATTGCAACTCTACGCATCATTATCTCAGAACAAAGCATGGAATGGCGATCAAACCTCTACTTCAACCTTTTAGACTTCGAGAAGGCCTTCGACAGCGTTGACCGTGAAGCAATTTGGAAACTACTCGAGTATTATGACGTACCCCAAATATTCATCAACCTTATTCAACAGCTGTACGACAACGGCACATGTCAAGTGATCCACAACGGAAAACTCAGCAAGATGTTTGGAGTAAACACAGGAGTCAGACAAGGGTGCTTACTATCACCAATGATATTCCTAATTGTGGTGGACTGGATTATGCGTCAGACAGTGGGAAACGAGAAGACATGAATATCCTGGAGCGACGTGAAGAACCTAGAAGACCTGGATTTCGCGCGTGGATGATTTATGCTTGATGTCACACAAAATAGAAGACTTACAAGCGAAAACCGACAAACTAATCGAAGAAGCAGCAAAGACAGGACTCCAAGTGAACATAGACAAGACGGAGGTTATGAAAATAACCAACCAACAACAGCAACAGCATCCAACGTCAATCACCATCAACGGGAGGGATTTGAAAGAGGTTACTTCATTCACTTATCTCAACTACAAGAAGTCGTAACGGACGAGGATGTCAAATCGAGAGAGAATCGGGGAGGCCAGCGAGAAACACATTCATCAACCTGAAATCAATCTGGAAATCTTCGTCACTCAGCATCACCAACAAAATTCAGTCGGATTTTCAATACAAACGTCAAGTCAGTCAGTTCTTCTATACGGATCAGAAACTTGGCGGGTGGGTCACAAAGAATATTTCCAAAAGGCTGCAGACCTTTATCAACAACTGTCTTCGCTCAATACTGAAGATCAGATGGCCGGGCCGGAAACAATCACCAACAAGGAATTATGGGAACAAACAAAGCAAGAATCAATTGCCCAACAAATATGCAGGAGAAAGTGGAGATGGATCGGGCACTTGCTGAGGAAACCGCTGAGTGAAATCGCGCGCGTCAGGCCATTGCTCGAATGGAACCCGAAAGGGAAGCGGCGAGTGGAACGTCAGTGCAAGGGTGACATGGAGGAGATCGTGTGAAGAGGAGTTGAAAGAATACGGATTAACATAGATGCAGGCGAAAAGTATAGCAGAAGACAGAAGCAAATGGAGACGGGCAGTTGAAGCCCTATGTTGCACTAGGAACCCAAGGGAGCAATAATAATAATTTCATTATTCTACAACTTTTTTTTCTTTTCAGACGGATGAACCAGAGGTCATAGCATTTCTCCTGGGGTCAGAAATTATACCTCTTTGTCTGGTAATCATGGAATCAGGAAGTGAACTAAGTAGAACTGTGAGTTTTGCGTCTTCCAGTCAACCATGTGTTCAAGTGCATTTAGGAAAATCACTAATATATATCAGTGTAGCAATTCAGACTAGACTTTACAATTCTAATACAAGAAATTGGACATCTTTTGTTAGTGTTTCACTGGTGTTTATACAAAATACTGTTGTATCCTGGAAATTTCCCACAGTCCTGTGAATATCATTTAAACAGCAGATGAAATGACATTTGTCGTTTGCAGTTTTGATTTATTATACAAGAGTGACGTGACTCGAAATCAAAATAGGATGGAGTTAACTGTTAATCATATGATTTGGTTGTCAAGGTATTTGTTTTACAAAGTACTTATATTGTTAGAAATCTAGAAACGTGAAGTTCACATTAAACATTATTATGTATGTGATTATTTCACATTAGTTATACCACCTGCAAACTCCACGTCACTAATTCATTCCTCCATATCCTTGGAAACAATCTAGGTGGCGACCTTCATCATGCAGAAGCTTCTTTTGGATGAAGTCGGCCTAGCGTACATCTGTCAAACTTATGAGCGTTTCGTTCACGTAGCTACTGTTTTGGAGAAAATGGTGATCGACTTGGCTAGAGAGCAGTCATTACGCCTTTTGAAACACTTGATTCGGTGCTACCTACGTCTTTCAGATAATTCGCGGTGAGTGTTTTCAGCCTAACAAGCAAGATTATGCTTACATTGAAAAATGTCGTGTTATCAATTAAAGTACACAATCACTATACGCTTTTTGTATCCGTTTTCTGCATAATCATGTTAGGACGGATAACATGTCAGCTATAAATAAAGTCATGATTAAAACAATCAATCAGAGAGAGAACCATTGGAACACCTGGGTGTACTAGGGAGCTCTTTCATCCCAGTTTGGGACTCTTCACAGTACATCCTCGCCGGGGAGTTGAGGTTGGTACCCAGGACCTTCTGGTTGCAAGACTAGCTCGTAGACCAAGTATTGTGAATAAGAAACCTGTTGTTGTGGTTGTTGTTTTTGCCCCAGTTGTTTCGATTGAATCTGACTTCTGTGTGTCTACTCAGTGTGGGAGATATTTTCCTAATGATCAGTTGTCTGGAGACGCAATGTAGTCAGAGTGGATAACAACCAACAAATTAGTAAGACTCCGTTATGGCAAAAATAACAGAACTAATAATAAACTTTGTGAAACAATTGGTAATAATGTTGCTGAAACATTACTAGTATCCTTCTAGGAGCAGAACGCTATTCATATCACATAGAAAACAACTATATTTCGTTTTAGTGTAGCCACTTATCTCTTAGCTTCAAATTTAATGCAACTCAACAATCTTTCGAGAGTTTTTGTTTTAAAACCAAATGATAAGACAGACCAGATAACTATCACTTTAAACTGTTAAGTAGTATCTCAGACGTTATCGATGCCTAAATATGATAATTTTTACCTCTGATTTTTATTTCAGAGCGCGTGATGCTCTTCGAACATGTTTACCACAACACCTCACAGATGGCACGTTCAGTAGTTTGCTGGAGAACGATGTGGCTACTAGACGATGGCTCACACAGTTGATTCGTCAGCTGTCCGCTCGCACAGTTGGATCTGCAGTTACTGCTTGTACTACCGCTTCTAGTGTTGGTTCCATGGATGTTACTACACTAAACACCGTTAGTGGTACTCTCACCTGCCTTCCATCAACTCCAACGGTTCCGTCTTCCGTGACTACTGCATCTACTTACTTACTTTACTTCGGCTATCTCCTACGGGAGGATGAACCGGCTTCATGAACATCTCGAATGTTTGTAAGAGAGTTGATGAAGTTTCATGGGAATTGGGTACGAGTGATGTCCCCAGCATCGCTCGGCCTTTTGTTTGAGAGTGCAGCTCTAGCCTTTACACAATCAAGTGTGACCTACAAGGCAGTAGGAGTGGAGTAGGGAGTCCACTATCCATTGGCAGCCGGTGACCGGAGTCCGGTTCATACGCCTTTTTGAATGGGGCCAGACATCCAGGGCATCCAATAAGCTCTTTGTCCATACGTCTGTCGGTGAACTCCGGTGAGCTTCATACGCCAGTCGTTGGAGGTTTGGAATCAGGGTTTAGCCATCTCCCCTAGACTGTCATCCAATGGACAGTCAACCCGGTGAAGAGCGCCGGGCATCCGCTTTTGCCCTCTCACTTCGGTGAGAAACACCTCCGCCACGTGAAGGCAGTGAGTAGGACTTCCTCAGGAGAGCCTATGTAAGACGCACGGTCATATGGGAGCATTTCAAGAGGTGTACGGAGGGGTGGCTAGCCCGCAGCGCAAGACACCCACCCCCGACCATCCTGAGGCTTTGGAGGCTTTGCATCTAGTGTTGACATTTCTGGAACGTCTGTTGTAAGTGGAGTTACAAGTGCTTCTGTGAGTGGGTCAGGAGCACCTGTATCTTCGTCATCTACACAAGGTGTAGACTCTGTGACATCTACGAGCAGTTGGTGAACTTACGTATAACCCTGGGAATTATGTTATACACAATGTATATATGCTTTCGATTTCTATTTTAATTGATTTACTTTCACTCTCTAGTGCTTGACATGCCTCTTATCTAGTTTTTTTGATGATAAGTTTTCCACTTTATTCCTAACGTGATTGTAATTTTTCATTATCTCTGTATGGATACTTATTCTGATAAATTAATTAATGTCCATATGTTTTATGCTACTAAATACATCATATATGTCCAGACCAAGTTCACTTTTAACAGGGGTATATGCTGTTAACTGAAGACGACTGCAAAAACCTTATTCGTTTCATATAACATATGCATTTAGCAATTTTGAATGTGTAAATTAAACAAGGTGTTTAGTAGCGGGCGGATTAGCTATTGAGTTGAATCTCCACGTTGTTCGGTGAACTCTGTGCATCTTTGCTTGATTTCGTTAGTTCTACCAGTTTTAGGTTTGATTAGTGTTGGAAGGACTCCATGAGACTTATGTCGTTTTCTTTCATTCAGTTTTCCTACAGTGAAGCTTGATATTTGAACAAAATAAGTCAAAATATTCATTTTTCAATATTGACTCTTCAGTTGGAATAATTATTTATTTATTTTTTTTTGATTTACAGCTTGATTCCACACTGTATTTTTGGTACAAGTATGGAATTTTCAGCATGGATATCGGTAGCCCAAATTTTGCAGGCCGACCATAGATATCAGGTGTGCGCCGGCGTGGGCTCGAACCCCGGACCATGTGGATGGTTGGCGAGAGTCCTAACCACTGTGCCACCGACGCACAAAGCGCTCCCGCGCCGGGAGTCGAACCCGGGCCGCCTGGGTGAAAGCCAGGAATCCTAACCGCTAGATCAGTTGTGTGTTTCTCTGCTTCGAATGAGAAGTATCAGTATCATAAACAGACTTCATCAAAGAAGCTTCGTTTAACAAGCAGGACGAACAAGTGTGAGCTTATTTTTATTGTTCCATAGGTTCTTTTTCAACTGTCTATGAGTCTAACAATACGAAAATTTAAGTTTGAAGAAGTGGTTAAACGCTGCTTTTTTCGTGTTGGCCATGAGTTATTGGTAGAAAATCTAAGTAACATGAGTCCGGAATGATATTAGTAGTTAATTGTTAGGCGTTAGGAGTTGACTATTTATAGTATAATTAAACAAAGGTTCGTGGAGAAAGGACCAGGGCTCAATACAGAGTCTAACTAGAAAGATTATATTAGTTGGTGAAATAGGTTACGTGACTATACAATAATAAAAAGGAGTTGTATGAGTGGCCTACAGATGAAAAATAAAAATATACAAAGGTATATTCATCGTAAAGAATTCTGCAATTGACTGTATCCGAATCGCAGTTCTTGTGGTGCAATAGGCTACAAATGAGGTTTGTTGTGGAGATTGTTCTACCTCGGTGAAAATCCTTGAAAGAAGGAGAGATACGAATTTGCCATTATTGAAAAGTGCTTACTAGAGAGTAGATATTTTCCAAAGCTAATTGACAAAAACAAAGGGATTCCACATATTAAGGAGAATTTGATACAGTTGAGAAGTAACCGATCTACCTAAAGCTTCGATTTCAAGGTAATGGAGTAATTAAATATCAAATAAATACTGCTCTCAGATGGACTCATTCAGTTGCCAAGTTAGTCACAACTTACCAAATAGATTGCTCATCGAGAATCTGTAGTTGACAAGTCAACTTACGTCTAACTACACAAACCAATTTACATGGACGTGCAAAACACATATATCGGACGAAGAAGAGGGATTTGTAGACATGTCTGAGTACATTCCAAGACACTTCCAAGCGAAAGGTGCGATCGTCCACCACTTAATTGATAGCAATCGTGAAAATGATGTGTTGAAATCACTTGAGATAATTAAAGTCCAGGGGAGTTTCAGTTCGTATGGATTAAGATAAAAGCTGTTAATGAGTCTTACATTGAGATGGTTGACTGACTGACTGGTTTCAACATAGAATTTTGCACCGATATGCAGCAGTTCAAGTCGCCACACTCCATGTAGCACACAAAGCAAGAGAAGAACGTAGAAGAAATGCAAAATAGAGACAGTAAACAGATGATATGGGACGAAAAGAAAGTAATATCGAAAAGCAAAATAACCTCATTAGGCATCATCAGTCAGCGAGTGGATGGAAATGCGACACTGGGAACGATTTTGAGCAATATCACCGATTGCCTCAAGTCATTGATGTTTAGCGTCCAGAGGACAAATATCTGATATCACTGGATGCAACTTGCTTATTAACCAATGTGCCTTTGATGGAAACAATTGATTACATGGGTAGTGAACTGATGAAGCTAGGCATAGAGATCGGAATTCCTGTCTTCCCTAAAGGAACTTCTATTAAGTTGTACAATGAACGTAAGTTCCCTGTTCAACAAAGAAATTTATAGACAGTCAGATGATGTTGACATGGGATCACCACTAGGCCGAATCCTAGCAGAATTTTTCCTGACGAAACTAGAGAATGGTCCACTTAAAGATGTAATATATATATTCTTGATTTCTATTGCCGATATGTTGATGATACGTTTATAGCTGTTAAGAAAGAAAGTGAACCTACGGACATATTGGATGAATTCAGTAGAGCACATCCCAGCATAAGCTTCACTAAGGAAGAAGAAGAAAATGTCTCTATCCCTTTTTCGGACGTCCTGATGACTAAATGTACGGACGAAACAATATATAGACGTTGGTATAGGTAACCTTCCTCTGGACAATATACCCACTTCCTGAGCTTCGTACCTCTACAATACAAACGTGATCTGGTGAAACGTGTGTTTCACGGGGCTAGAACTATCTGTTCAAATGAGACACTGAACGAAGAACTCGGTAACATTAGCGATCTGATAAGCAGAAACGGCTATCCAATTAAATTCGTGAACAAACGCATGAACTCAGAAAGTAAAAAGTCGAAGTTGCCGACTGTCTCGAAGAAGTCAGTCAGGGGTGATGTCAGCAGTGACATCTTATCATAACGTCTGAGAAGGGTCTTTAAACGGACTTTGAAAGCCGCTAAGCTATGCAGTACATTCAATAGCCGACCAATGCTTAGTTCAAGTAACAAAGAGAGACTGCCCTCGTTCGCCTTTCCCATGTGTATTTACCAGTTTAACTGCACGTGCGGAGCTAGTTACATAGGGCATACAATCAGGCAAGTCCGTCATCGAATTTCTGAATACCTCACAACTTGGTTTGGCAAAGGTCCGAATAAAGCTATACGCAACTCATCACTAGCTCATCTCGTCGATACTGGACATCAGATCAACTCTAACAAAGCTTTCAAAGTTATTTACCGCTTATCACCCACGCTCTCTCATGGTCTACGGGTACGGCTTTTACGTACAGAAGTGGCAATCGGAATTCATCTGAACCAGCCAAATCTATGTGTTCAAAATAAATTTGTACAGCCGCTTTCTTTGACATGACAAACTACAGAATATATAATGGGTTTTTAAAAACGACTTTCTCTTTTCCTCTTGTAACTATCTTTTCACCTTGTTAATTTTTACGACTCTAGCTAATTCTACTAAGTTGTTTTTATTTTACGCGACTCTTTCGAATCATCCTATTCTTCTTCCTAGTCATCATTACTATTTTCCGAGTCTGTTGATTATGTAAAGGATTAATTTAAGGATAAATTGAACATATTTCTAGAAGTAATGCAGCACTGGAACCACATGTATGCTAGATGACTGGGGTGAGTTCAGGCACTGACTTTCCCTTTTTGCTTTATAAATGGACTCTTAACAGTTAATAATACAACATACCAAAGTTCAAGAAGTGTACTTTCTCTAGTTCCCACATATGTTAGTGACGATACCCATTTGCAAACACTCTCCATATCAGAAGCTGACGTCCCAGTTGGAGGAGCATTAGATGGTGTAGACATTTTTGATTGCATACTAGTCAGTAACTAGTGTAATGTGTCTAGCCCTATCTTCACTGCAGACTGAATTCTATCAGTCTAGCTTGACTGAAGTGGCTGTCAAGTTAATCAGTTAAGCTTGAC